TTGCCAGGGCTGCGTGGCAGGAGCACAAGACAACAGGTTTAAATCACAATGAGCAGCTCAGGCTGGATATAAGAATCATGTAGAATCACAGAATGGACCAGGCTGGAAGGGACCTTAGAGATCATTTAATGCAACCTCACTGTCATGGGCAGGGACGCCTTTCAACTAGATCAGGCAACACATGGGGACTGAACGGGGATCGAACCAGCGACCTTGGTGTTATAAGGGAGCAGTTTTTGCTCCTGAGAAAAGCCAGGCCTCCAAACAGGGTGCCCAGGGAGGCTGCGCAGTGGTCTCTCTCCATGCAAGACCTGACTGGACAACGCCCTGAGCAACCTGGCCTGGTCTCGTAGTAGACTTTGCTTTTAAGCAGGAAGCTGAGCTAAGTGACTTCCTAGCGCCCCTTCTAACCTGAGTTGCCCATTGGTACTATAAATATTATTGTCTGTGAACGTCTGAGCTAATAACATGGCTTGAAGTGATGCAGCACTTAGGATGTGGTGTCAGTTCTGAACAGGCTTAAGGTTTTTTCCGAAATCACTCAATTCTTTTATTAAGTTCCAAATATTTTCTTTCTATAGTTTTGAATAGTTGGCATTTGTTTTTACAGTAATCAGCCAAAATGACGAACACAAAGGGAAAGAGGAGGGGAACACGTTATATGTTCTCAAGGCCATTTCGCAAGCATGGTGAGTATATCTTATAGTAAGAAACCTGCGTGAAGTTACTGACCTGTGGGATGTCAACAGCCCCTGGGTAGCATTTGGAAAAGAAATGTCTTGTGTCAAAGGATTTCTGACAACTTGGGCTGTAAACTCTTGAATGATTTGCAAGCAAACTCTTATGTCTAACAGTTTATTGGTATTTCAGTTGCTTGTCAGTGCTAATTCTGTCAGTGTGTGAGAATTAATTTGAAGGTGAAGAAAATATTTTAACAGTACAGTTACTTAAAGCGTACAGGTGTTTTGCCTCTTAGCAATGAGCAGTGATAACAGCTGTGCTCACAATGAAGTAGTGAATAGATTAATGCTTTTAAACTTCTGCATTAGGAACAAGATTGAAGTTGTAATTTTTCCTGAGTTAGTTGGATTTTTTACAAATTTTGGAATGTGTGAGCAGCTTTAAGAAAAATTGGTTTGATTTCTTAGCTTTATGTTTGTGACATTGAATTTAAATTTTAGCTCTTTAAGAAAACTATCAAATGCATGATCTGTGTCCCCTACCCCAGTGTGTGTGTGTGTGTGTGTGTGTGTGAAACTGTGGACTTCACAAGTATCCAAATTTGTGTCTCTTTAACAGGAGTTGTCCCTCTGGCTACCTACATGCGCATCTACAAGAAGGGTGATATAGTTGATATCAAGGTAATTTTTGCAGTGCTACATAATTAAAAGCTAAAGCAGTGGAAACCTTTTTTGTCTTCAGTTTCCCGAGAGGGAACCAGTAGTTTTGATCGGATTTTGTGAAGCCACATTAAAAGTAGAAACCACAAAATAAATGTGAGGAAATATCATATATATTAATAGAGGGGGAGAAAGGTGAAGCACCATTTCCCATCCCTTGGTATTTTCTAGAACTTTTCCTTTAAAATCAGCTAATCAGCTGTACTTTCAAAATGAAGTTGCAGTAAATCTAAAAGCCTTTCACTGAAGATTCCTACTTCATGGAATGTTATAGCTTCATTGGAAATGCAGAGTTTTTGTAGGAGTCATGCAGAAGGTGATGTAGAATTTGCTTATTTGTTGTTTGATGCTTGGAGAGCTGTTCAGAACTAACACTTTTTGACGTGCTGGAGCTTGATGATGATCTTCTCCCATGATTGCTTGCTGAAAGCAAAGTGATCAATCATTTCACCGACGCTGAAAGCAACCAGAATTGTCTTAGTGAAATTGGGTAGTCTTCAGACACAAAATGCATGAGTATGAATTCTAATATACAAATAAGATAGAAGTATTTTTAAATCAGTCTTAGATAATTTGAAATGTGTCCTTTAGATAACTTCTGAAAGAGAACTCCTTGATACTGCTGTGCTTTTTTTTTCTTCCCCACGTAGAAGTTTATACTTGCTCTCCATTTACCTCTTTAACAGGGTATGGGTACTGTTCAAAAAGGTATGCCCCACAAGTGTTACCATGGCAAGACTGGAAGGGTATATAACGTTACTCAGCACGCTGTGGGCATTATTGTTAACAAGCAAGTTAAGTAAGTAATGAAATTCTCTCTATGGAAACTTAGTATTAGGGAAAGTTGATGTGTAATAGCACCCTCCTTTCACTTTACCAGTTAGACAGTTATTGTCTTGATTGGTCATTCAAGGTGGGTAAAGTATTTATCCTTTTTATAACCCAAGCAAATGATGCTCATTTGACTTGGATCCTGTCAGAGGAAACATCTTATTTTTCTGAGCAGCACTTAATGTGACATTACTTAATAGGGCTTTTCAACTAACTTTCACATTGGTGCTGAAGCCCTTTTTAAATATTAATTTGTAGCTGTATCTGGCTGGGTTTTGTACAATTCAGACAGAAAAGGACAAGTTGGTGGGTTTTTTTCCCAGGAACTGGATGGGAGTACAGTCATAATACAATTCTTTGTATGCTACAAGGTTAAAATTACGTATTCTCCACAACCTTAATCCGAAGTTGTCAGCACATTGTTATGTATTAATAAACTTTCAGTTATGTGAGTTATGCTGCTGCAGATGCAAGTCAGATATATTTTGAGTGATCACCCTCTAAAGAAAAATTAGCTCTAATTGAGCTTTTGGAGTTACTTATGTAAGGGCTGTAAAACTAGCTTTGAAGTGGCCTTTTTTTTCAAATGCAATAGATTAAAAAACTGATTTCCTTTCTTAGGGGCAAGATCCTTGCCAAGAGAATTAATGTGCGTATTGAGCACATTAAACATTCCAAGAGCAGAGACAGCTTTCTGCAGCGTGTGAAGGAGAATGAAAAGAAGAAGAAGGAAGCAAAAGAAAAAGGCATTTGGGTTCAGCTGAAACGTCAGGTAATATTTTTTATTGTTGTTGACACATTGTTGATTCCGTTCACTGAAAAATAAACCCAAACAACTAGAACTAAGCCGGTTGAGTAAAACTTTGTTTTTTCCTAAAATGACAGTGTTATGCTATAAATTAAGCTCTTTCTGTCTTTTGAAAAAAAAAAGAGAAAAAAAAATCACCTCATGTGAATGACGCAGCTTACAGCATTGTGAAAAACCCAGGTCTCTGGTGGATTGTATTGGAGCGACTTGATGCCACCGCCCTCACCGGCAGTCATTTTTGGGGAAGGTTGCCTTTTTTAAAGAGTCTCTGTGCCTGAGCTGGGGTAGGATACCTGAAACTGCACTGCTCCAGGCAGGAAGCGGAGCCCTGGCTGTGGACAGAGGGACGAATGCTCCTTGGTCTGTGCCTGATTGGTGGCAGACAGCTCCGGCTGATGTGTGATCAGTGTTGTCTTTGGTTTTAGTGGTTTTGGGGTTGTTTTTTTTTTGCTATGATGGTTTCTGTTTAAGAAAGGAATGAATAAGCTTTCAGAGAGGAGATAGTGGCTGTTGCTTCTGGAACTTCATCACTTGGTAGTAATAATGTGTTAAATGGTTGTCAAAATTAATTTTCTGTAAGGCTGCTTTTGAGTTTTAGTACCATGGGTTTTCTATTTTCTTTTTCTGTTTACAGCCTGCTCCACCAAGAGAAGCACACTTTGTGAGAACTAACGGCAAGGATCCAGAGCTGCTGGAGCCAATTCCGTATGAATTCATGGCTTAATGCACGTTTAAAAAAAAATAAATTAAAGATCTGGTTTTGGACAAGTGTATGTGACTGTGGCTTATTCCTGTATTTTTTTTTTTTGTAACAGATGCTTTAGAAAACTTAGTTTATTGAAATTTGTTTATTTAATTTGCATTATGTGGTGCTTGGTCATTTAAATAATCTGCAGTATTTGCTGATCAGTTTAGTCATTTATAGAGACCGTAAATCCTGGAAACACTGGAATTTGCTAATGCTTAGTGATGACCGTTGGGCAGTGTGAGAAGAGATGGAATGTTTCACCAGCAAACTTAAGAGCATGTACCAAGAGTTACACAGTGTCACTCGAAGGTTTAACTTTTGTGGGAAAAAGGGCAATGGGCTTCAGATTTCATTGATACAAACTTTTGACTAAGGGGCCTCAGAGTAATACCAAAGAATTGTGGAAGCTGTTTTTGAGAGCAGTCTCTTGAGAAATGGCTGTGGGCAGATCTTGGTGTTTCACCATTGTAACTATCAAAGAAGGATTTGTAGAACATTCCTGGGCCCATAAGTATTCTTAGGAAATAGTAATTTTGAAACAGGGATTTAATTCTGGAATTGCCAGCCTGTGGAATGTGATTTGTATCATCGAAACTGGCTGGCAGAGCTGAACACTTGCCTCTTCTTGTATGTTCGTTGTGTGTCTGTTGATTGTAAACATCTACCTGGATGTTGTAATGCGTTCCTCTCATCCCATGGCTGTATGGATGCTTCACAAAAACCCACGTGTAGAGAGAGTAAAATCCTAGAGAAGACAGTAACTTTAAGCAGCATGTGTAGATGTTGACGTGAAAGTGGTTGGCGTCGTTTTAGGACAGCTGGCAGACTTGAGGGTAAGAAATGGAGGGATGATGAGCTTTGTTCTTTCCCTTAATTCTGAAGTGCCTTAAGCAGAAGTGTCAAATTGTACAGATTACTTACAAATTAAGGGATTTGCACCTGTTTGCATTTACCCATCACTCATTTGTGGGATTTCCCGCTCATGCAATCTAATTTTTGGACATTGAAGTCATTGTCTAGTTTGGTCTGGTATTTAAGGGTGACAGCCTTTAGGCAGTGGAGGTTCAAAGTCCCAGTGAGCCGATGCTGAGTTTGAAATTTCTCCAGCCTCCCATCTCAGAAGCTAGAGTCAGCTCTATAGTTGGAATGACTTTGGAAATGCCTTGAAGAAGGAGCAAAACAGCCTGTTCACAGGCTGAGACATAGCACTAGTGTACTGTATTTTGACAGCGTATCTATTGGGCGTGGAGTGTACCACATCTCCTGAAGCAAGGTTGATGGATCGTAGCTTTCACTGTTGCAGCTGATGCCCTCACCTTTTATGATCACATGGGACTTTCTTGGAGCAGCTAGATTTGTACGCTAAGCCTGATACCATTGTCAGCTTTTTGGGCTTCTTGGTTCCCACAGCAATTTCAAACTGGTATTTGGCTCATGAGATAAGCATGATTTTCCATTAAAGGAGTTCAGTGGGAGGCCTGATTGGGGATGATCTTTGGTGATGGTATTTTAAATGTTGTCCTCCTTCATGCTTATGTAAATTTAGTTCTATTTGGTTTGTACTTACCTGTCAAAATTGCACTGGATTAACTGTATCATCATGATGAAATGGTTAATGGTAACTCTTAAGTGGTGGGTAGATAGATCTTGGATTTATTTTCAGTAATTTGGAATAATAAAACAGCATACAGTGGTCTCTTAATAGCTGTGCTTCCAGAGATGCTGTGCATTCCAAGAGATTTCAATTTATTTAGTCTTGGTGTTTTTAAGGTCAGTAGTTGGTCATAAACTTGTGTTTGGAAGCTGTGTGTGGGCTTGGAGGAGAAAGAGGAAATGCTTTCCTTGGTCAAGATTCCCAGAAATGACTGAAAATAAAATTGGGGGTTGTACAGGAAATACATTTTTATTTAAAAGAAAAAAAGTTTGAAAACAGATTAACTATGGTTGAACCTGTCTTGATTTTATAGATGCTACCTGCTCACAGGTAGCTATAGATGCTACTTGCTCTTGGTGGTGATTTTTCTGCTGATCGCAGGTTTGCAGAAGCCCAGCCCAGATATTTAGAGGTCTCGCTGTCTGCTGTTGAAGTTTGCTTCCCGTGTGTTCAGCTGCCTTGTTTTTGCACAGTCCTGACAAAAGAGGGAGATCTGTGAATTGAGAAAAGTTGCTGACAAACTGCCTGTCAGGACATCTTCAGTTGTGAAACGAGTATTCTGACTGAAAGGCATCCTTGATGGAAGGGAATAGTTTCAGGCGTGTACAGGACCTGCAGAAGGTTTTGGGAGTGATTTTGGCAGTTCAGCCTCTGCTCTTCGTGTTAGAGGAAGCACATTTCCTTGCGGTGTTCAGAGTAGCAGGTTCCTCTCACCCTTAACTCGCTCTAGAAGGGTTTTACATGCGGGGCCCATAAGCTGTCACCAGTTCTCTGCCGTCCTCTTCTGAGGCTGTGCCCAACACGCGAAGCCTTGCCACCAGCGTGCCAGCTGCAGGCTGGGTGTTTCCACACCGCGACAGCTGAATTTTGTTTCATTCCACAGTACTTTGAATTGTGAATAACTTGTGGAATCTGCAAAGCTGTAGGTTTCCCGTGTGATTGGACACACCTTGAGCTGGCAGAATTCAGAAATCCCTAGTTTAAAAGTCAGTTTAGCAGTAGTTCAGCGTTTTATGTTACGTGTCTTCAGTCCCCTACTCTTGTGCAGAGACTTCGTTATCCCAGAGCTGGTGGACAGGCTGTCCCTAGAAGCGAGTGGAGAGTGAAGTGCTTATGGATGAGCACAAGCTGTTACTACCCCTCACTGTAGTGCTTTGTCTCTGTTCCACAGAGCCCAGGTAAAAGGTGGGGGCTGAACCATCTCCTCCTTTCCAGGTTTTACTGCCTTGAACCATTGCAGCTGGTTCTCTGACTAAGGCACTGCCAAAGACTGTTGTGTCTTGGAGAAGAAGCACGGAAGCCTTCACACTGAGCTGCTGGCTTTGTCTTTTTTAGCACATCGGTGACACCGAGACCTGCGGGTTACTGGAGGCTATGCAGGCAGTTGTTGGTGCTGTGTGTGGCCCGGAGGGGCAATAAAAGAGCAGAAAGGACCAGGGAGGAGGAACTGTACGCGGTGAGAAGATGTGGTTAGACTGGGCTTATCATTGCCTGGGTGGTACCCTATGACTCAGCGATGTGGGTGGTGTCCCCCACAGTGCAGAGGTCGCCCTACTGCTACAAGTGGTCTCCTTGCATGGGAAGAAGGCATCAGCAACCCCTATGACTCTGAAGGTGGTGATATGGAAGACAGAGATAAGGAGCATTTCACATCTGTGCACTGCCTCAGTGGATGTACGACCAAGGTCTATACAGGAATCAAATTGTAGTTGCTGGGATTTACATAGTCGCAATCACCCTGGCTCAAGCATTAGGTAGGGATGTGGCTCCCATCAGGAGCACCTGTACCGCTCGAGAATCCAGAAAATACAAACCTCTAGTTGAGGTTGCTGATTTTGATTTTCACTATTTGAAGGAAGAAGCTTTTGGTGATGGCCCCTCTGCCATCGGTCACCTTTTTGGTTGATGCTCATTCCAAACTGTTTTAAGTACTGACGAACAGGAGTCGTGGAGTGTGAGGAACAGTTGCAGTCTTGAACATGGGCTTGTGCTCTTGAAAGCTCATAGTAGAGTGGTGAAACCATACCAGCTCACAGCAAAGGTTCTCACCGTCCACCACATGGAAAAGCTTTGTGCCTTCTGTTCCGTATCTCACATGGTCCTGCCAACCTTAAGCCCAGAACTCAGAGCTGACTCCACAATGTCAGCAAAGACTTCCAGGAGAACAATGTGCATTTTGTTTCTTAGAGAAGAAAGGAACTCCAGAGGCTCTCAGGATGTCCTCCCTGCTGCAGTCACAGGAGTAAGCCACGTATTCTCTTCCCCAAAAGCACCTGCTGCTAAAGGTTACCAGAGCTTGGGAGAGGGTCTCGGGCAGCACTGTGGTGTCTCCAGGGCTCATATGAGTGGGACTGATGGCTTGGGCCATCTGCATGGAATGGGTGAACGTACAGACTGGTCCTTCTGAGTAGTACCTCCAGCCAAGAAAGGAAAGACTGAAGAGCTTTGAGGTCTGTACCTCCCAGGGATCACTTGGCCCACAGAACAGGGACAACTAATCTGAGCTTCCACATGAGGAATTCTAGCCCAGGCTGCTTCAACCTACCAAAAATGCTCCTGTTGCACCAGAGTAGGTGTTGACTGAGACAACTCCCTGGAAATAAATTCTTTTGCAGGGTTTTCTACCTGGGTTTGCACACTGTCATCTTTGTGCTTGACCATCACTGTTCATGGTTCTCTCAGCAGCAGGCGAGGCAGCTCTACAGCTGCCCAGAAAGGGGGAGCTCCTCAAGTTTTGGGACAGTGGTGGTTTTAATACTACTGCTTTCACAACTCAGCACCTGGGAATCATCTGCTTAGAATGGACTCATTTCAGTAGCGTTCTTCCAAGGGCACACTGAATGTACTCTGATAGCTCTTTTGTAAAGAAATGTATAAAAATAGCCTACGTTGCCACTGTGAGCAAGGCCAAAGACAAGTGTTTCCTTGACAATGGAAGCAGATGACAATAACGTGAACCTCTGGAAACCAAAAGCTTTTAACAATACAAGAGAAATCTTGTTTACAAAGAGAAAAGGGCTCACTAGCATGATGGGAAGTGAAGCAGAAATTTTAGAGGCAATCAGTTTTTTGAGATTAAAAGTGGCTTGATGTGGGGATTCTTAGGCACTAGAGTAACACAAATCAACAGTGCTTCTTCCACTGTACTTTTCTGCAGGCACTACTTTAACTGATATGAATTAGCGTGTTCTAGAGAGATCCTCCTGCCCCTCTACTCTGCCCTGGTGAGGCCACATCTGGAATATCGTGTCCAGTTCTGGGCCCCTCAGCTCAAGAGAGACAGGGAACTGCTTGAGAGAGTCCAGCGCAGAGCCACAGAGATGATGAGGAAAGGCTGAAGGAGCTGGGTCTCTTTAGCTTGGAGAAGAGGA